ACAAAATGTAAAAGGAAAAATAATTATAATGGTGAATAATTATCTGGTAAAATGAATTATAAATTAATTAGCGTTCAAATATGAGTAAAAAAATGTACGAATTTTGGGAAAAATACAAACTTTCATGAATTACACGGATATATTATGAGAAAAATAGTCGAGTAAAACGGACACGAATGTTTTGACAAAAAAAAAAAAATTTTAGAAACATACAAAAAAAAAATAAAAATATGCAAGACAAGAAAAATACGATCATGTATGAACCCACAGGTATTAAGCTTTCATGAATTACACGGATATATTATGAGAAAAATAGTCGAGTAAAACGGACACGAATGTTTTGACAAAAAAAAAAATAAAATTTTAGAAACATACAAAAAAAAAATAAAAATATGCAAGACAAGAAAAATACGATCATGTATGAACCCACAGGTATTAAGGAAATAATACGAAAATATTACAAAAGATTTGGGGGAAAAATATTTGCCCCACTCCCGCCCCCCCCCAAAAAATAATGATGATAAATAAAAGCACGGGCGTTCGTTTTAGGTCTGGTGGACGAGGCCATCGACACCAAGTCCCTGCTGGATGCGTCGGAGGAGGCCATCAAGAAGGACCTGGACAAGTGCCGGGTGGCCATGGACATGCAGCAGCCGCAGATGCTGGTGGCCGGCGCCACCAGCATCGCCCGCCGGGCCAACCGCATCCTCCTGGTGGCCAAGCGCGAGGTGGAGAACTCGGAGGACCCCAAATTCCGCGAGGCGGTCAAGGCGGCGTCGGAGGAGCTCAGTCAGACCATCTCGCCCATGGTCATGGACGCCAAAGCCGTGGCGGGGAACATCCACGATCCCAGTACGTCCGTCGCGCGGGCTCCGCCTCTTGGGCCGGCCTTTTCAAAACGTGTTTGCTTGCAGATCTCCGCAAGGGCTTTCTGGACTCGGGTTACAAGATTCTCGATGCGGTCGCGAAAGTCAGGGAGGCGTTCCAACCTCAGGAGCCCGATTTCCCGCCGCCGCCTCCTGATTTGGAGCAACTGAACGTAAGTCCGACCAAACGTACCATTCGCAATTGTCACGGTTTGTTGCTGGCCTTTTTGCTTATCGCAAAAGCGTCTGACGGTGACGTTATTCAAAACAAGCTTTGCTTTCAGCTTCCCTTTTTCGGGGTTTTGCTTTCCTTCCCCTGATAGCAAAGGAAAAAAAATCCTGACAAATAGCCCGAACTCAATGCATCCAATGATTTAATCGTCCGGGAATATTTGTCCGGCCCGCAGCTCAACGATGAGCCGGCTCCACCCAAACCTCCTCTTCCCGAAGGCGAGGTTCCTCCGCCCAGGCCGCCGCCGCCCGAGGAGAAGGACGAGGAGTTCCCCGAACAGAAGGCCGGCGACATGGTCAACGAGCCCATGATGGTGGCCGCCAGGCAGCTACACGACGAGGCCCGCAAGTGGTCCAGCAAGGTACATGCCGGCCATCCGTTGAAAAACTGCCTTTGAACAAGTCTTTTCGGAAGTTGAAGTGAGCCTCGCCAAAGATTTCGGGATTTTTACTGCTTTAAAAAGACAAAACGGGTCAAATTTCCCTTGAGCAATGTGGAACGAAATCACCAGCATACTCCAAAATCTGAGACTGTCATCTTAAGGCCGAGCCTGAAGTGACGCCGCGGTGGGCATTTGCGCCGTAGGGTAACGATATCATCGGCGCAGCCAAGCGAATGGCCCTGCTCATGGCGGAAATGTCGCGCCTGGTGCGCGGCGGCAGCGGCAACAAGCGCGCCCTCATCCAGTGTGCCAAGGACATCGCCAAGGCTTCCGACGAAGTCACGCGGCTCGCCAAGGAGGTGGCCAAGCAGTGCACCGACAAGCGCATCCGCACCAACTTGCTGCAGGTCACACGCTCGCGCAACTTGCAAGTGAATTGACTGACGTGATTCCAGTCGCTTTAAACGACGCTCTTGCTTGAACTCCAGGTGTGCGAACGCATTCCCACCATCAGTACCCAACTCAAGATCCTGTCCACGGTCAAGGCCACCATGTTGGGTCGCACCAACATAAGCGAAGAGGAGTCAGAACAGGTGATGTTTTACTTTGCTTTGTCTCTTCGAGGATCACAAATGAACATATCGTGTCTCACGGTGTCTTGTTCCCCCACCAGGCTACCGAGATGCTGGTCCACAACGCTCAGAACCTGATGCAGTCCGTCAAGGAGACGGTGCGCGAGGCCGAGGCGGCTTCCATCAAGATCCGCACAGACGCTGGATTCACCCTGCACTGGGTCCGCAAGACGCCTTGGTACCAGTGAAAAGACCGGAGGACGCAGGACGCCACTAAATGGGCAGAAAAAGCCTCACCGGGGCTTCCATTCGGACTGTGAACGTGTGTACAAATGTGTTGACAAATCCCGGGAATTTACAGGATATATTTGGAGTAGGACTTGCATTTCTTAGAACTTAGATTTCTTTTGCTGTACTCTTGAGAGTTTGGACATCGTCGTACTGATAATTGCGTCTCACCTCCGCAAGATACCGTATGGTGATTTGCAGGTTTTTAAGATAAAAGTATTTCGAAGCTGCCAGGGAACGATGTCGAAGTGAGTTGAGGAGCTGCTTTTAGACAAAAGTTGTGGTTTGCTGCCGCCATGCTGCACCTAAAGGCAATCATAATCCTTTTTAAGGGGCGACAGTTCCTTGTGGATTTTTGCCTAACACGTATTTTGTAAGTGTTTCCCCCAATCTTCCTTGAGAAGGCACATATTTCACGTTCGAACAACTTTACGGCACACCACCAAGCAAAAAAAAAAAAAAAAAAAAAGGCTTAAAAATAAATGCAGTGCATTCACTGTAAAACTGACACAACATATAATTAATCATTGTAAAATTTGACAACAAAATGTTCAACTAAACCGTTTAGGAACTTAAGTCTGGTAGCTTAATGCTAACTCCTGCTACTTACAGTAAATGCAAAACGCTATAGACCGGCTAATGTACATTAGCATCCATGTTTTGGACCAAGTTAGCGGAATTGAATAACTGGTTTACACTACTTGCTGTATAATCACAAACATTCAAAAGAAACACTGCGGTTTTATTTTTTGTTGTTGTTGGTTTTACGTAGCAATACGGTTTTAACAAATTATTTCTGCCAAAGACTGGTCTTCAGATGCCTCACTTGCGTTGCGTAGAGATTAAAATGATTGCGCTGTGGAAATTCGGACAAAAACTATTCCAAAGAACGCCACGCTGTTGTGCACAATCATGGTCAGGAATTTTTGTCAGGTAGGATGCGAACTAAGAAGAAGCACAGTGTCACCATAAGCAAAAAAGAAACAAAGACACACACACAAAAAAAAAGACCGCCAATGTGCCTTGAATTGACACTCAGATGTTTAATATCATTTGCGCAAAGAAAAAAAAACTGCCTCGCTATGCAAATATCTGAGGTGTGCTTATTAACAGAGTGCCTGGATCATGCCAAGTGTACTTCAGTGGCAACGATTGGGCCTCCTCATCATTCACCATTTTTTTTTGTAATAAAGCATTTTATAGCACTGGAGTTATGTTTGGTCCTGTGTGTGGTTATCCGTGAGTCAGAATATTCAATAGAATTCTGTAAGTAAACCACTTAAGTGCTGAATATAGTAATATAAAGATTTGTTTGATAAAAAAAAAAATACTGGACAATATGAGCATTAATCAAAATTTTCTATTTTTTTATGTGCAATTTTTTTTCTGAGTGATATGGCTTTTTTTCGAGAGTGAGTTATGTTCCTGAAAGATACCACTGCATAAATAACGCATCTTTTTTTTTTAGGAAAAATATTTTTACTACAAAAGACAATTAGCAAAGAACATTTATTTGAAAAGTAAAGTTTGTTCATGAGAGTAACATTTGTGAAAAAAAATGTTTTCAGAGCTTTATTCCCCCGGTTGTTTTTAAATTAGAATTTACATTATTTTGCCCATATAAATATTTTATTCATTGACGACTGTTTAACTGAGAGAAAGAAGACACAGCCCGATAGAAATCTCCCCCTACAGTGAACTTGGCACCATCTGTGTTTATTTCAAGAGGAAGCTGCGGTGTCTGTGTGTCATCACGAGTTCTTTCAGCATCTTCATCCTCCACAGCAACATCCAACAAATAAGATCATTGAACCAACCATGTCCCGTGAAGACACAAATGCTTCCAAATGGAGGAAAATTGCGTTGAGGTAAGTGTTTTTTCATGGGAGCTCTTGTGCTGTTAGCCACATAGCTAGCTAGCCACCAATACAGTCGGCTTCGCCGCGATTAATGTTGAAGAACCGGCTGTGAGTCGGCCACCGGGCACGTTTCACGCCGCTGTTGGCGTCGTCTTCCCGGGCAGGATAGTTGTTAATTGCCGCTAGTCGCCCCGGAGGATGGAGGGTGCTCGTCACGTGATTGACCACAACCGGCTATTAAGTATTTCTTTGTTATTATCAAAATAGGATTTGTCATTTCAAAAAAGATAGATTAATACCAATTTGCCTTGGAGTCAATCTTATCTATTAATTTTTAATTTCTTTTAAGTAACCATGAATTAATATTTTAGCATTTACTCCCATCCGCACTTTCGTCATCGGTTATACCGTACCTCTCTATAAATGTTTCCAAATCAGCACTTTCGTCACTCTAGAAATACAAATTAAAATTGCATACTAAAAATTCTGTTTCATGATATTTTTTATGTAATCTGAAATGACTTTCCACTTGTTTTAAAAATTGATTAACACTAATCCTGCTTTACAGTAAACCAGAGCCCAGAAACAACTGGAGGGTTAATTAACGTAAGCGAAAATGAGGCGTCGCCATTTTTACACCCGTTTAATTAAAACAAAAAAAATAAAGGTATGTGTATTTTTAAAATAATGGTAAATAATGACCATTATTCAGGTTTTAATTGTGTGGTGTTATATTGAGAACAGCATCCCGCTTCGTTGGAACTGCGAATAACTGAGTGTTAACACGAATGCTGGTGTGTCCCATTTGCCACAAACACAACTCGCCTTCATTCTCAGCGAGCCAATCAAATGCTCCTCGTCAAACTGCTGAACTTCCCGTATTCCCAAAAAACACGTTGCTAGTCTTAACAAACCCGTAAAATAGTTTTAAAATTCACAATTTCGGACAATTATGACAGCTCCAAGGTAAGACAGCACTTGTGACACGCTTTCTATAATGTAAAAGTAAACTTTGGCGGTTACCAGACAGCCTAACATCATTAACTTGAATCACTTTTGGTCGTGAATCCGACTGAAGAACGTGCCACATACATATTATCTATTTTTGCTAGTTCTTTTCATGTCTGGATTTATAGTGCGCTATGTAACTTTTTACACGAGACAGTTAGTTTGTGCTGAAAGTTGGCTAACGTAATAAAAAAAGAGACTTTGACCACAGATATCACAGATACCTTCTAACGTACTGGATGGCAACTGCGAGTTCAGTGGCCGGCAACCTGCGTTTTTTTAATTAATGGAAGAAAGAATATTAAGAAAGGTAGTTACATATTTTTTCAGGAAATTACTATTTAAAAAACAATTCTGACCTCAGTTGATTTTTATTTAAGGGGAGAAAATTTGAACCATCAAGGTGCTCACAATATATACTGTGTGTGTGTGTGTGTGTGTGTGTGTGTGTGTGTGTGTGTGTGTGTGTATATATATATATATACTGTAATTTTTTATTTTACTCTATTTTTT